TTCATAAAATGTTGATATGGCCATTTTCTCTACATGATAACATTTTCATATTTTGAATCTTTTTAAACTATTTAAATGCATCAGAAATTTACTATTTTTTTTAGTTATTACTTTCAATTATTTTAGAAGATAATACTCATCTAGTGTATACCTATGTACCTTAAGCTCGATTTTAATTTTTTTTTTATGTTGATTTACTATCTTTTACATAATGTTATGAAGTACTTGAATTGATTTTCAATTTTCTTGTACAGTGTTGTACAGTAACGAACGAATTTTCTTTAATTTTAAAATGCTACCAATATGCAACCTACACTCTGATTTACTGTCCAATACGCAAATATATTGAACTAGGTGACCTTTTTTTTTTCTTTTATCAATAACTATATTGGTTCAGCCCGTATTGTTATGAAATGTCTATTTAATATCGGTCAGTAAGTTATCAAAAATAGTTTTTGATTTTATAATTCTCCATAAGCCTTCAATTTGTTGAGTTGTACTCCTGTTTCCGAGTCAATAAAAAATATTGAATGATTAACTGATGAATTTATCCATGATGATTTAATGTTGAGTACACTCTCCATTGGTTTGTGGTCACTATAAATTATCGTTCCAGTTTTTATTTCATTTTTAATAATTGCTAAAAGAGTTTCTGGGTCCTGTTTTTTTACGATAAAAAAATCACCGTTCTAATAAAAGTCTGGCTGTTTCCAACAAATTCAAAATACCCATGGGCCCTACTTTACAGTTCCCATAATTTTCATTTGTACTTATTATTTAATTTTTGTCGTTTAATTATTTATTTCTCTTAATGCCTAATGGTCCCCGCAATTGTAATCAGCTATTGTTATACTCCATGCTCTTCCCTTGAAACGGGGATTCGTCAATTTGGACAGTATAACCATGACCACCCATTTTCTCTCTTTTTCAAAAACAATATATTGGTATATCTATGCAAAGATTAAACCAATAAATTATGGTGTTTTTGCTTCCACCAGCCCAATTTACAGCTTGATTTATTGGAACTAAATTAACCCAGTACTCAACTACTTCTATTATTTCATATAATTATAGGTGACTATTACAACAGCCTTCAAGATCCATGTATGTAAAGAATTCATTATCTTTACGGATTGGTTGGTCAGTCTGCTAACCCCGTTTTGTAAATCGTAATGTTACAACTTTTTTCATTGTGGTATCAGAGACCAGAGTAAAATATTAAACTCATGTCATTTCATCTCTAATACTGTGTCTATATGTATGTAGGTGACCAATAGTAGATGATAAAGAAACCTATAGATTAACACAAACTTATCGGTTGTAGTAACATTTGTAGGTATATATTTGACCGTTCACAATGGGTACATATTTTGGTAAAAATATTGTGTGTACACATATATTATTATTAGTCTGAGCAAAAAAAGCCCTGACCAACAAATACTGAACATTTTGTGCATACGTAATAAGTGCGCCTAAGTAACTTTTTTTTAAAACTGGTCTCGGATATTTATTTATGTTAAAAAGGTATATTGTACACAGTTAGGTTAATAATAATAAATTATTTATTTATTATTATTAATGTTCCCCAGTTTCTATCTATGTTAGAAAAGTGTGCCTAATGTAAACTGTGCTCCGTTTGTAAAATATACAAAACTTATGAATTATTAAAGTCTCTACGATTGTGTACTTTTTCAATTATATCACAGAAATTTTATTTTTGTCTTAAAATACCAACACGTTATCGAATAACGTGCAGTAATATGACAACTGATGGTTATCACTACATCCGACATAGGTCTGCTAGTACTTATATCGTATTAATTTAATCAGTGAAGTCAAGATGGCCGAACAATTCGAAAATAATTTCAAACTGTAAGTTCCATAAAATCAATTGGACTCTAAGTTCTGGTGAAGTTAAGTGGCGATGTACAGTCAAAACTAACAGCTTTTTCTAAAACGGTAGGTGATGACGACAGAATTACTGAACAAAATTTAAACCATAGCCACGAATCATTAAGTGATCGAAACCTTCAAAAACAATTCGTGACTGCAGGTATTGTGAAACGCAAGGCAATCAAAGATATATGTATCAAACTTGGTAAAATATTTTGTAATGCTTTTAAAAATTTGCCACTAACGGAACTTTTATAAGTAAGTGATGTACACTTAATATTAAAATAAATATATATAATGTTAAAAGAAAGACATTGCCTACATTCCCTAAATAAATTGAAGAAGTTCAATTAATTCTTGACGAACGTAGAAAAAAAATAGAGATGAGTTATTTTTATTAAAACACAACAAGGAGTTAAACTATATTGTTTTCAGTTGAATTTTTAATTTAAAAGTTTTTGCATTATCAAAATGGTTGTTCGTGGATGGACGATATCATGCAAGTAGGTAAAGTAGGTTATAGGTTATCTGATGGTATACGTTTTCATACTGCTCTAAATACTTGACATGAGTCGCGAAAGGTCTACAATACACGGATTTATCAACGGCAATTATATACTACTCATTATATGTTTACTCTCCGATAAAAGTACAATATCATATACTAATTGCTAAAAATCTATTTGTGAATATAGTTTCCAAAACAATATAACTATTTCACCATCCGATGTTGTAATAGATTTCGAGAAAGCTATTAATTTTGCATGTAAAACTATTTGATCTCAGATAAAGATACATCCACGGATGTCGCTTTCATTTAACACAGTTGTGGAATAGAATTATCCAACAAAATGGTTCGAGTAATGACTTAGAAGGTGGTTAGTTCAATGGCATGGTTTACCATTTCTAAGCCCAGGAAGTGTATCAGAGTATTTTGTAAATTATTTAATGGAATCAAAGCCTGACGACGAGAGAGTAACTCGATTTGCAGATTATTTGGTAGATATAAGTATAAGTGACGAAGGTCAGTATCCACCTGAAATATAAGCTTAAGAATTAACAGAGCCAATTTTAACCACTAATACATGTGAGTCATTTCATTCTTACTTTAATTCTAGCTTTAATACAACTCATCCATATATTCTCATGTTCATATAGAAAAATTAAAAGAAATTCAAATAGAAAAATAATATATTAAACTAAATAGTATATAAATGAATCCTTTAAATACCAAAATTCTAAAAAAAAAAATAGGCCCGTATAAGTATTTCATAAATAATTAATATTAATTTAAAAAATGTACTTAATTATTATTACTATTTTTATTTAGTGCTTACTAGTTACTATATAATATATAATATTTGAATTTGATTACTATTTATTAAACTATTACCTACAGTTTACTAAACAAACATCGATCTCTACAATAATCATAATATCTTATCATTTAAAATAAGTTGAGTTTTAAAAAATAGTCAATACAAACTTCATATCACTGTACAATAATAATAATAATTTAATATAATTATAGCGTTTTTTTAAACAATGACGTAATATAAGCGATTGAAAAAAATCTTCTATTATTGTCTACTAATTATTTGTATGTAATTGTTTAACTAATGGTCCACAACTACATAAACTAAATTTAAAGTACCAAATTAATTATTAGTATACCTAATATATTAAAATTAGTTACATTTTTCAAATGAATACTAATCAAATATAATATAAATTAATAAAGTGTATACCTATTTAATAGATTATATATTAATAAATCAAAATTTAAGAGAATAGGTACTTTGTATTTTCGGACTTTTTGTTTCAAAATTGACTTTTTGCATGTCCTCGGAATTATCGCCTGGGAATTGAAAATTATCGGAATTTTATGTTATTAATTATTAATCAATAATTATGTAACACTGTTTGTAAGTTTGTAACATAATATATATCTATTGTTGTGCTTTAAATAAGTTTAATATAATTATTCATTTTTATTTTTTGTACCTATTATATCATATTATTTAATAACAATATTTCAGTAGGTACACTAAACATTATTGTTCATTAATCATTTACAATATGTATGCAATAGTAAAATATATAATATTGTTGTAACATTTCAAAACCATTATAATATGAAATAGAAATAAAAATATAAAGTAGGAAGTTACTAATTAGATAATAATATATTAAAAATATGGCAATCGAAATAAAAATCCCCAGAAATAAATTTCTCTCAAAATTATCAAATAATAGTTAATAAATGTAAGTAGGTAAGATTATTTGTAATTAAATATTAATAATGGGGTAATATTAAACTAACTAGTGTTTTAAAAATATTTGATAAATAATTTGCATGTGGTTGTGACCCGTGAGTAATATTGTAGTTTGGGGATTTTTTCTCTCAAGGTCGGGTATTTTTTTTCCCGGAAATTTTTATTCTGCAATTCAAAAAATAAAGTACTTGCCTACGTTAGGTTGGCAGGTATAATTGCACCTAATTTATGATACTACTGACTATATTTAGGTATTTTATTAATTAATTATAAAGAAAAAAATTACATCTATAATAGCCAATACAGGTATGACATTAGGAAATAACAAATAATTAATAATTAAAGGTAATTTTTTCCGGGGCTTTATTTTCCCAATACCATTATTAGAAATCTTGATTTATTCTGCAGTAGATCATAAAGGTATTATAATAATATTTCGTTAAAAATTAAATGTCGATTCTCAAAATTGATCATATTTTTACACCTTAACACTTGGACGCGTATTTTTTGGACATAGATAACAATTCACAGTTGGTCATGTTATTTTGCCATTTTGACAACACTGAATTCACTCATTCATCATAATAATATGGTCCTAATGCGTGTGATGATGTCACGGACGAAAGGCCATCAATAATTTATTATTATTGTTAATGTTAGTATAATAATATACTGCGAATAGGAGAATAGGCAATGTAATCATTGTTATTTGACGAATGGGCGTGGTCGGGTGGAAATGTGGAATGTAAATCCACTGGATCGTGAGTCACTCCAAACCGAACCCCAATCACATTCTTACTCTATGCTACGACCGAAACACCGTTCCCCCACTCCAATACCAGGAAAAATGACCTCGAGACGAGATATTTGCGTTATCGTTGGAATGGTTTATTTTTTTTATAGATTAGCGTAATACAATTTATTACTATACACACAGTTGTAATTTGTAAACAACGAAGTACAAACAGTAATCAGTATACACTATACACCCGACACCGGTACCCTACGGAGTGTTGTTGTGCAGACCTGGCTGACGAACTCTGGCGGAAATTTGTTTGATAAACTATTCGCATTCTTAGGTATCTTTTATAAATTATTATTATTATTATCTATATCTGTTCCGCTGTACAATCAATATCTTGAATCGAGAATATAATTGTATTGCAAATAAAAACAAAATACTTTAATTTAAAGTAATTGTAAATACTTCGCTGAATACTTTTTTTAAATACCTAATTATTATAATTGTTTAACTTCTGTTTTAGAATACCATTATCTTTTTTCAAAAATGTCGTACAAAGTTACTTACTTCAACATCACTGCTCTGGCTGAACCCATCAGATTCCTTCTGTCCTACTTGAACATTGATTTTGAAGACTTTCGTTTTGAACGCGAACAATGGCCAGCACTCAAACCAAGTAAGTTTTTATTGATTATTGCTTGTATGTAGGTACTTAAAATCTTCAACTGCTATATTGTATTATCTAAATACTTTTACTAAATACTATAGGTACCTATTTACTTATTACCTAATATTTATACTTTATTTTTAAAATCTTAATAACTAACGATTTTACTAGGTGCTTATGTATAATTGTATTAATATCTAATTAATATTTACAAGAATAGATACAATATAAATACTATATAATAAATTCAAACCCATGTACAAAAAATATTTGTTCCAGTCTTCATCCCTTGGGAAAAAAGTCTAGCCTTGGACCCGCCTACCTATTCACAATAGTTACAAACATTTGAAAATTAATTTGATCCAAAAATGTATACAATTTTCAGTACAATACATAATGAAGTGCATATAATGCGCATCTGTCACGCAGGAACTTGGTACCTACCTACCTACCTCTATCGGCTCATACGTCAACGCTTCTAGGCCATGAGTATAAGATCTGTGGTGATTTATTACCTGTAATCACAAATTTCTATACACGTACTATTGAAGTCTCTGTCTATAATATATCATATTATATAGTTTTGATAATAGATCTATAAACTTATGGACACAGCTTAAAGAGAGAGCAATCAGTAGATAAGATAGCCAAGAGAGAAAAACTATTCATTTGAGACGCTTCAGTGCTTTTCCCTCATTCTATCTTGTCTCCATGAACTTTAGGCAAAGTGATGTGGTAGGCCAGTTCCATTAATTTATAGGTCTGTGGCTTTAATAAATAGATACTAGATATTTATATAATTTATAGATTATCAATATTATATGCTTAAGTACTAAGCACAATATTATTTTTATTTGTCTTAGCCATGCCATTTGGCAAAGTGCCTGTGTTGGAAATTGATGGTAAAGTATTGAATCAATCAACAGCTATTACTCGTTATTTAGCCAAAAAAGCTGGATTAGCTGGTAGTGATGAATGGGAGTCTTTGTTGATCGATATTGCTGTCGATAACATTCATGATTTACGACAAGGTAAATATTATTATCTAATAGTGATTATAAAATATAATAAATATTGTTTAAATTATTAATGCTAAGTTGGGTGGTAAGTATTATATAATAAATATTATTTTTATAGCATTAGCATTATATGCTTATGATCCAAATGAGGAATCTAAAGAAGCAAAATATGCACCTTTGATCAATGAAACAATTCCATTCTATATGGATAAATTTGAAAAAAATGTTGAAGACAATAATGGATACTTTATAAATGGAAAGGTAACAACGTTTTTAATTTATTAAACTCATTTATAATCTGAAAACAAAATAGATTCTGTACTTAAAAACATTAAATACAACTCAATTTAAAATCAATTTCCTTAAATAATTAGAGTTAGCTACAATAAACTGTCTTTTGTATTTCTGATTGAATGAATGATGACATGTGATACAAGTCATCCTAATTATTGTTATCCTTAATATATACTATAATTTCTCTATTTTCTATCTTCCTTTTAACATGAATAAAAAAATTGCAGAATTAAAAATGTTAATTTTTTCAAGGTCTTTTATAAACTGTTGTGCCCCTCGTCTAATGTGTCTATGCTTAAATTAAGTTTAATTTTATTTTCCAAATTGGTTTTATATTTAATCTATTGTCTTTAATTTATTTAATTTAATTAAAAATCAAAATTAACAACTACAGTGTCTCCATTTAATATTTCAATTACATTTTTTTTTGTAATAAATAAGATTTTAGTTAATAATTAGATATATGAAATTGAAGAATTTTATTTTAATTATATTTTTATTTTTTTCAGTTGTCTTGGGCTGATTTATTTTTTGTAGCTGTTTTAGACTACTTGAATTTTATGGCAAAAATTGATTTGTTGGAAGGTCGTCCAAAATTAAAAGCACTTAAAGAAAAAGTACTGGAAGTACCTCAAATTAAAGCATGGGTTGCTAAACGACCAGCAGATTGTGTTTAAATATCAAACAGTATCAAAAGAAGCACATATTAATTAAAATAATAAGAATATTTATTTTTAATTTAATCATATCTCATTCAGATGAATTTAATTTTTACACATTATATAAAATTATTAAAATAAGGTATTTATTATTTTTTTATGTTAAAGTAAAGCACTTGAAAAGTTTTATAAAAGTTAATAAAGTATTCAGTATACAAGCATATATTTTGTGTTTCTATCCATATACTTCCAAATTTGCTCGATTTCAAACTTTTTTTTTTTAACATTTATTTGAATGTATACTAATGTATTTTAATCTGTAATGATAGTTACAATGAGCATATGAATGGAAATATAAAAGTTGGCTGTGAATGCTTGAGGGGAGCAGCTACACAACAGTAACACTCAACATTTAAATTTAAAATGATTATAAAAAAAGAGAAAATATGAAATATAGATAAATAGCTTAAAATTTGTCAAGAAATTTTAAAAATGCACTGAGTAACTTGAATAAATTATAATTTTATGATGAAGCTGGTTGCAGCTGTTAACAGATATAATAATTAATATTAAATAACTGGAACTGACGGGTATTAATAGATTAATAGAAATAAATTAACTTTTTTATCTATATTTTTGGTTAATTGATGGTTTTTTTCTAGTTTTTCTTTTAAGTTTATAACTGGGGATTATTTTAGTAGTTTGTTTTTAAAATTTTCCTTGGCAATACTTTAGTGATTGATAATTATGTTTAATGTTTTTATACTTGAGGTTCCAAAACATTGAAATGATTTGGTGATATTTTCTTTAACATCTAAGTATCATATTTATTTTATAGAAGCTTGAATCATTTAATTTTATAAATTACCTAAAATTATTAAATCAATGGTGCCTTTTTATTTAGAAATATGCATTTTAATTAATTATAATAAACGGTGTAAGATTAAGTTATAACTATCTACATAATACAAATCAAAATCATTTTTACATTCCCTACCTACATGGAAGAAAACATGTCACAAACAATGCTAGGTATATCACTAATCAGATAGTGAAACAAACATTGAAAAATGAAAATATTTTGCTCCTCCCTTGACATAATTCTGCTGACGCCCTTGGACGGGACCGATGAAAGCGCTACCAAACATCAAGACTGTACAGTGTACCTGCTGTACCTAGCATAGTAGCATATATTGTAAACTAACAACTAGGTATAGACGGTTTTTATTATTATTGGTATCACGTAATTTTTTCTAATAGTTAGAATTGTAATTTGCAAAACAACAAACTAGAAAGCAATAGACTTATAGTTAAAATGAATAGGTACCTACTAAATATTACTTATTTATGACAGTTTAAAAGAAACTGAATAAAAATTAATAAAAAAATGAAAAAATCAACCTCCGTGGACTGTAATTTTAATTGTTAAAGGTTGATTTTATGATTAAAGTATTAATCATTTTCTTTTATAAGTAATTATATTTTACCTATACCCATTTTTCAATAATGTAATAATAAATTAGTATTGCTGCTGGTAAGTGGTAAGATATTTGTTTCAGTATGTATGTAAATAGCAATACCTACTGACCTACCGTAGTTATTTTCAGATAGAATCTAACTATATACATGTGAAATGAAAATCTTTGTACAGGGTAAACTCTGAAACTACTTATCAGATATTCTTGATTTTTTTTAAACGAAAGAGTACCTATGTATAACGGAGAAGATTTCTATCGCAATAGCATTTGTTAATAAACAATTGAGTTTTCTATTAATTAAAATAAACGTGTAAATTGTATACCTATACCTTTTTTAGTAAAAAAAAAGTCGCTAGCTGAAAATAAATAACAATCAAACTCGACAAGCACAGATGCTTCCAGGCAGGCGGTATCGACGTCGAATATAAACAACTATTATAATATTATTCACTTAAGCAAAAAAAAAAAAAACAATTCATTTTATCTGAACATCCAAGCGAATATGTTAGTTTAGTTATTGGTAAAAAAATATTTTTCTTTTTGCAACTTCGAAAGTACCTTACACAGTTACACAGTAAAAATAAAAAATATTTTTAATATCGGGGTCCGATAATAATAATAGAATTATACAATATAATATCCTACCTGATAATATACTGTCAAGTGGGTCTCATTTAAATTTGGCATTTTTAATGGGCAACGAAGCCCTTAAAGCCCTTCGTTTTTAACTAACGAAGCTAGTGTATTATATATTTTTTTGATATTGATTAGGCATATATTTTTATTGATTTTTAACTTAAAATTACATCTAATAACATTTAAGTATATTGTATCTGTCTTTACAAACCTCACTAATATAATCATTTTAGTACCTAGTAATAATAAATACACCATATAATATCAATAAATATTTACCACCCCTTAAAAGAACTAAAAAAATTACCACCTTCAGTATTTTACACTTGCCCCCAAGTCCCGCCAGCAAATATATGACTGATAGTGGGCCGTTAAAATGTTATTTCTCCGCCTTCCCGGACTGTACCGAAGTTCCAATCTGTCTTTGGATGATTACTACTTGGAAGTTGGAGTCTTAGAGTACAGCTGATGTGTATTATAATTATAGTTGTTTTTTAGTTTGATAGTAGAATTACTGTTATGACTAGTAATAATTAGCTATATCATTTAAATATGATGTTTTTAAAAAATGTTTTTAAATTGTACAGCCGGATACATAAAAACTGGACTGTGGCCTACGCGCTCCCGGTGGTTAAAATTGACAGGGGTTATTAAACTTAAATGATATGAATATTTTGAGTTGTTTGGAGGCACTCCAGTACTTATGTTGGAAACCCAAAGCTGCGGACGGGGCATTGTAGTAACGATCACCGGCTAGTTTTCGTATCTCCGACATTAGCTACTTTTTTCAAACTAATAAGGGTGGTTAAACCTTTATGGCAATGAAATTAATAATACAATTTAGTTAATCATTGAGTTAATTCAACTTATATAAACTAATAAGTGATAACGTCAGAGTGGCTAAATGTTTTTAATATAGGTACCTACACTGGCTACACTATCAGAGAATTTGTAGCCTAACTATAAACTGTACAGCTTGGGGAGTTGGCCATTGTGGCTAAAGTGACATGACAAAGTCAGTTTATTGTAATGTGTCCGGTCAGTCGTTTGGACTGCAGCACATAATCCTCGGGTAAATAGAAGCAATCAAAATCAATGGACAATGGTGGATGGTCGCATAATTTTTGCAGTGGCATCATTTAGTTATGTTAGATTTTTGTACCTGAATATTAATAAAAAAATTGTATGTATCTGCCTATTGAAATTTCCTATCAATGCAACTCCTACATGCGTGTGGAATATCACTCGCGTGATGTATACAATCCACTTAATTGACACTTATGCACAAATTTAAACATGCAATTTCATATTTTAAATGGTACAATATACTACAATGACACCGACAAGGGATGCTCATACTTTTTTTAATATTTTAGTATTTCACAGCCATCGGTCACAATATTTAGTTAACTATAAATTATATAATAAATAACTATATTAAAGAATCAGCATATGAGTATATTTTATATAGGTTATATTTAAATACAATATTTTCGAAAACTTTAGATTACCGTGCACAATGTTTTCATTAATTTCGTATCAAAAATAGCCTATATTATGAAACCTACGATGTAATGTTGTTTTATAATATTAAGGTGTTAATAACATACCAGCATACAAATTTTTTTTTTGTAATATTTATGTAAATAATGATCCTATAGCAAATGGATATAGTATGGTATTATTATATTAATACACAGCTATGTTGTGTGTTAGCTATAGACAATAAAGCTCATCGGTGGTTACATACAAGTATACAACACCCATATTTTCTCCGTAGTTATGTCACCGTTGGCGAATGTGCTATTAAAATAGATCTGCAGTTAGGTTTAGCTATTTTAAACACTATTTTACATGATCGAATTTAGCACAATTAATGTTTAAATACTGTACTTTATAATAAATAAATTATAATAATGATTCATTAATAAAATTTTAACTAAATTACTTCTTTGCAATAAGTACTAAAAACTATTGTCAGTAATTTCATCCTATCCTACAATTAAATTCTGTTGTTTTAGACATATTATACTCATTTTATCTTATTAAGAATTAAGATACATTAATAATTGCAGTAATAATCGCAATAATAATAATCGCACATATTTTATACCACAAGAAAGATAAACGCAAGGCAATGGTGTACCCAAATAGACTATCCATGACGCCGTGTAATCAATTTATGTATTGAAGTATAAAAACATACATTTTAAGAGAAATTAGAATAACTTTACTGTCACAACGGCTTAGGCGGTTATTGGTTAAGACACAAACGAAAAATGAAAAAGTCACGTCGACCACTTGGTATGGTACATTATATAATATATTTTTTTTTATATAAAAGATAATCTGTGACCAATCAATGCAATGATCATGGTTTCAGGTATAATATTATGAATTATATAGTAAATAAAAACCCTGGAGTAAAAATATACCTAGTAATCACTAATCTTATAAGCAATAGAAAACTTAAAAAATGGTTAATTACACTAGAGTTGAGTAGTCAAAATGACCGAAGTCTTAGTATTTTTTTTTTAGTCAACGATGCATAATTATTCCAAGTGAACTGTACTGCTAGGTTACAATAACAGTGGTGGAGTTATAGCTACTATTTGTATAGCTACTAATAATATTATACGATGTTTAGAACTTTTCCAATATTTTAAAATCCAGGAAGGATTAAGATGAAGTAAGAAGTTCAATGATACTGAAGCCTGATAATAACATTGACTAGATGATAGGGTCCGTATAATAAGTCTGATATTACTGGCCTTTCATTTAACTAATTAAAAATAAAATTAATTAAAATCGCTTTCACTAATACACCTTTACGATAATTTTGTTGTTATTTTCATAATTTTCTCAAAAACTATAAATACATTTATAAAATGACCTATTGGCTATTGCAAGTACTTAAGTATCGACCACTCGTGTTACATTTTAAATTAATGGAAATATTATAGGAGAATCGTTAAGTGTTTAAGTATAAAACACTAAATAACAATACCTACCAATACATTCTCTGTTTTTTTCAGAATTTAATAACATTATTATTTTTTTATAGTAGAGTAAAACTTATATGCATTCTCTACCATAACTGTATATGATTACTAACCTTATTTATTTTTATTTTTAATGTTGTAAATACATATCTTTGAAAACCTTCAAGAATGGAAATAATAAATAATATGTTTATTGTTTATTTGGACTAACATGTTTTTTATTCTAACAAATAATTATATAAATATTTTTTGAAGTAAAAATAATGTCGAAAAAACATAATTATTCAGCTTGCATGGCAAATAACTCTATTTACAATTTAGTTTTTACACCATAGATCATAATAATATATTGCATTACACGATTGCTGTAACGATGTCCAATATAAACTGTCATATAATATACTCATTTATTTAGGAGTTGCTGAAATTTATTTTAGTCCAGTAAACACTTGCTTATTATTTTATATTTTCAAACGTTAATTTTGTTTCCGATTTCATTAGTAGATAATTGTTTTGATTAGGCATTTGGAGAGTAATTTATATTGAACATCGATCTTTCAAGCGAGTAACACATTTTTGGTTAAACAATTACAATACTCGGTATGATCTACTGGTAAATTTTACATAAAACGTATCATAAAAACAGTAATACTAAATGTAATAATATATTAAATATTACTTAACTATCGTGTTTTAACATATTATAGTATAAATATTAAGGTTTTTAACTATTTAGTTTTAAAAAATAAATGAACAATTATAATACATATATTATTACATTATAATATCATAATACCAATCTAGACTAAATATTGATATCAAAATCAATGTATTTGTTATGCATACACTTAAATATTTAATACCTAGTGAACGTTGAATAGCTTTTGAGCCATACGTAACATATTTTAATGATCTTCTGAATAAATTTGCTCTTCCCGATTATGACTTATTAAAGTAGATTTTTAAACACTAAATAATATTAATTAATATTCATAATACTATGTTATTATGACAACAGCTTACAACAAGTATCATTTTACATAATTCGGTGATAGTTGGTGCTTCGAGGTTGTATAGGGAATATATTTAACTAATATTTTAATATTAGACATTGTTATGTATTCACAAATATAAAATTGTGTACGAAATAATATTATTCACAACATTGTGAATGGTTGCTTAAATGCAATATAATATAATATAATAAATCTTATAAAATAAAAATATGTAGTAATAACACTGATGGAAGGCCATTATTATTAAGACAAAATTTGGTATAGGACCGATAAATGATAATATATATTATTATTATACATTTTAAGATCACTACATGCTTAATTTATCATTAATAAAGTACTATTATATTATTATAATAATATATAAGTCGACTAAATCTGAAACTGAAAGTATTTTATGCTCATTTAATCCATTCATTTCAGAAATGTAGTAAAAATGTAAGTACAATTTAAAATAATTAAAATAATATTAACAGAAACTTGATCTCGATTACTGTCGGATGTTATTTTTCAATTACTTTACTTGAAATACTGTTTTAAATAATAATCGGAACATAACTAAGTACAGTTGTGTATTAAAAAAAAACAAAATAGTTTAAATTACGACTGACACAATAATACATATTATATATTTTATAATATAAAGGAAAAAATTGACACGAATATATTGTTAAATATATATATTAATGGTAACGGTTAATACAAATGCAAAGGAATACAAATTGCAGGTACAAGAAGTATTGTATACTGGGAAAATGCATGACGCGAAGAAAAACGTAAAACGGTATTTACTGTGTGGAATATTTTATGCAAATTTACAATTTAATAAAAATATAGTGCTGAATAACCCCAAACCAGTACCATCTAGGTATCCTACAGCCGCTGTACTGCGTCGTAAATACTCGTCTTTGTTTAGATTTATTTCTGTTTTGAACTTTTTTTATTCACTTTGAAAGTCCTGAGATGCAACGACTAACGAGTTTGAGTTTGAGTAGTTGTGATGTCTTAATATTATTAGAATTGAACCAAATACCAGATACCTAGTCAGCATACGGTGGAATCTCGATAATAGTTGACGAAAAAGAAAAATATCCTCTCAGAAGCGTCGTATTATGTGTAGCTGGCGATTAGTCAATGCGGAAGTAAACAGATAGGCAATTTTTTTTTTGGCAATGAACCATTATAGTGGGCGAATGATCATCACAGTAGGTTTTATTCTTAAAGTTACAAATTATTGTTATGATACAACTATCGATTTGCAATTCTTTGGGCGATTCGCAACATCAACCCACCCGTCGTTTAGCGATAGTACTTTTTTATTGCACGTCCCTGCTAAACAATAATAAAACCAAATTGCTGAACATTAACCACATAATATATCGAATAACGTGAATCTGACCATGTCCGTATAGAAATAGGAAACTAAATAAAAATATTTATTGACGTCGCTCAGTAAAGTAACACACGTTCTACATATTATAATAAGTACCGTTTGCGAGTAGGTATCTACTCTTATTACACTATTTAGTTTATTTGAGTGTGGGTATACTTGAAAACATTTCCGGTGTTTAGATGAAACGGGGGTTTATTTTATGAGTGCTTGTCAGACAAAACACCGACATTGAAAGGAGCTAGTTGTTCGGTGAGAGGGGAGTGGTAGAGGTTTGGTAAACAGGGCCAAGAAACCGCGTCACTCTTTATAATTATTAGAAGTAAATATATGCGTAGCGTACCAAATAATTAATCCCTTTTACGATTGGCCAGTCGGCAAGACCTAAGACGTTTAATCAAATCTCAGACATTTGGTTGTACGAGCCAAACATAAACTTCTCAAATGACCGTCGAACTCTTAATAGCGTATAATATAATCAAACAAACAACAACAAAAAATTCAAATTTATCTCTTACGTCCATAAAATAGTGTATCACTCGTGCGTAATGGCCGATAGAATTAGGTATATTGAGCATTACCCAAAGTTCCTACAAAAAGTAGCTATTAGTTTTTTCTTTACACAACGGAACAGATGCTAGAAAACCATTTAACCATCACAATAGTATAATATCTGATTACTGATCAGAGTACCTATCGTTGTGGTTTAAATCATATTTTCTAAGCTAATGACTGCTTGACGAAAAAAACTGATGGTTGAACTCAAAATCATAATTGGTAAATTTTAACGAAGCAAGCATATTAAACATACCTACTTTTAGACCACACCAAGAGTATGTTGAAAATGTGGTTAGCAAAATATTTCACTGTTTTTTATATTCGTTTTAAAATAGAATTATTACAAAAATCAAAAAAAGCTTAGCATAAATCACTTAAAAAAAAATAAATAAAAAAAAAATAGAAAATAATAAAAGCTACAGTGATTTATTCCTACATTTATTTATTTTTCATACTAAACAGCTTATACCTAGTAATTTGTTGTCATGTTTGGTTTAAAAAAAATACATCATGCATTATATATTGTATTCAATTTTTGATAAATAGAATTATCTCACACCCACGGGACTTGAGAGTTATCGAGATCCCACTGCATCAACATTGTTTATTATATTATATTATGTTTTCTGGAATTGTTTTTATATTTATTTCCTACTTATATTAAAGTTAAAACAAAGAAAGTTTTGCAGTGATACTTAAAACTATTCAGGAAATTAATCAATTTTCACTTTTTCTCACAAACGCACATGGGTGCATAATAAACACGAACACACACCAGACATATTACATATACCTACCATCCCATTTTGAATTACAATAATGAAAAATATTGAGATTACATTTTTAAGTTCTATATACTTTTTGGTCTAGTCTTTTATAATTCATTTAAAGTTTATATACATACATATATAAACAATGAATAAGGAAACTCGCTGTATTTAGTCCCCGTACTCTCAAGTTTTAAATATTTAATTTGGGTATTGGTTATTATACATCATTGACTTAACGTGAATATTTATAAATTAAATATAATCAAGTAAGATTGAACGCATACGAATTAAATTATTTGTCATCGATCGGTTATCAAGCACACTAAACTATATTATATTTTTTATTATACAAACAAAATTAAACAGATGTTTCAAACAACGAACATAGGTTGGTCATTAATATATTGGGGTATGTGATACAATGTTGGACTCGTGTAATAGAGACGGTGTTTTTATTTTGAGCTTGGAAAAATAATATTTGTGTGCTCTCTAATACAACGAATATAAAACATCAAAGGTAAGTTGGCCTACAAAAACAACAACATGAGCTGACATTGGTGTATATCGAATTTCTTCTTCCTTTTCGTTTCCATTTGCTGTTTTCTGGTTCTAACGCTGCATTTTTTTCTGCAAATATAAGTAATAATAATACTATTATTATTTTTTTCAAAAAAATATGACGAATAATGTACTATCTTTATCAAAATATCAAATACCCAAGCATCAAAATAGTGAAATGAAGATCAACAGTGAAGAGTATATTTGTTAGAAAATTACATAATTACAGTTGTAATCAACAAGAGTACAAGACTATACAGTATACAAGGGTATTATTATAACTCAAAAGTCATAAAAGATAACGAGCACATACATTATGGTCAAATTTCTACCTAAAGTGTGAAATATATTTATTTTAACTCTTAATAGGCTTAAAAAAAAAATGTAAAATTCTTTATCATTTTTGTACAAATTGATGATTATTAACAAAATGTAATATTTTGATATTGGAAATTAATATCGAATAGTCGTTTTGATATCAAAATTACCGATCTGAAAATATCATGCGATTTAGACTTTTGAAACCTTTGTACAATTAATTTATAAAGTTTCAACTGTTCAGTATTGAATGTTTGAAAAATAATTTCTTTACTAGAATTTAAAAAAAAAATTACTAAGAACGAGTAAAGTAAAATATAAATTTATTTAAAACTGAATTTTCTTTTATTATACAAGAAGAAAGATTAAAGATTAAAGAACAGAATATAGAACTTTATGAATATCAGAACATAAAACTTAGATTTTTTGGATAAAAAAATAAAGAGTGTTTTATTAAATTATATAACATAACCATTAAATATATTTACCGTAGTTTTTTCTTATTTTTATCGTTTAAATATAACGCAAAGAAAAGTAATAATAAAAAATAAATGGTTTTTGTTATACGCGTAAATCGTCCATAATATACATAGTTATAGCTTATAATATATATACCAGCTGCGGTGTCTTGTTGTGGAAGGAATTCTTGCATGTCTTGGATGAGCCTGGCCAGGTCTTGACTGTCTTTGGCTATGCTACAGATTTCTTCTTGATTGAAGTCCGGTTGGATTTGCTTGCACAAAAGTATTTGACTAATGACGTTGCCGATGTTTGACGGCCCGGCACGGTTTTCTGTGCAGTGCATAATATTAAAAAGGAACACAAAATTAATAATATCAATGTATATTAGCTGTAAATGACGTGAAATTATTGGCTTGGGTTCTATCAGTGTAATTTTTTCGATTTTCACCAACCAAAATATCCTGTCATGTCCATCGGTATAAGCTGCACAAGACGACTACATTTTCCGAGTTCTCGCAACATCATCTGGCACAGGTAGAACAGCAGGGCCAACTCGGGGTGATCCAACAGCGATGATTCTAAATTTGACCTGCAAAAAAATAAAATCAGATTTATTTATTTTTTTAATCGAGCCGCGTAAGTTTTTAAAACGAATTCCTAAACGTCACTCAATATATGTGTATACATGGCCACAACTCGCTGGTGCGTGCAATATCGATTAGACGCGTGTCACTGTACCTACCTATATAATTTTGGGTGTAGGCAACGCTGCGCTGCGACGTAAATCCCCCGACCGGGTTGGCGAGATTCGTACATTATATATTATATATATTTATTGCATTTATAACGATTATACATATGTTGATATATATATATACGCATGATATATTGTCTACATTTGCTGGAATGTAATTACTTTATATGGGTATCGTAAATTTAAAATGCAATTTAATCGGTATTGTTTTAAAAATACATTTTGTGCATGCTTTGCAGCCTATGTATAATATATTTGTGAAGATGGACATTCCATATTAATTAGAATTCGAGTAGTTACATTTCAAAATTAATTTCCGGATTTATCTTTTCTTATTCAACTCACATTTATTTTATGAAATATCAACTTTATTTTTCCCACAAATATATCTTCCCATTTCGTTCGAGGTTCTTAATAGCTTCATATTTTGTTTAATACGTCAATTGGATTTAACGGAGTGTAGTTTGTGAAGCAGGCTGTAATGGTTTTCGAAAGTAAATTCAGTAATTATATCGACAGTTTGGGTATTCGGTTTTAAAGAAATGATTTGTTTACAGACTTTTAAAGTGGCCACATCTGTTATTTTTCTGAATAAAGGTAAAAATCTATTTTTTTAAAATAATTGATTAGTAAGAATCAATGCGTTTGGATCATCAAAAAAAAAAAAAACTGTAAAATGAAAAATGAATATAACTTATGAATGTTATATTACATATTTTATGACATCATGTAGTTAGGTAACAATTTATACTTCAAAAATATTTTGCCAGGAAAAATTATAAAAAATAATATTATAGTAACAATATATGTGGTAGGTACCTGCGGTGGGTATATTATTTTAAATTAAGTACCTAGTACTTACTAAGAATAATGGCAAAACATACTCACTGGTTCATGTGAAACGATAACTTTCATAAAACCTTCCAAGTAACAGAAATTCAATATCTAGAAGGTCCATATTTCATTAGCCTCTTAGTAAATCAAAACTTATATTCATCAATTAAGTACCTTCTTGGTATCTACCTATTTACACTATCATTTTTAGTATCATATTTGATTATTATTATCATTATGAAATCATAATAATTACGCATAATACTACATATTACTAAAAAACCGAAACCGTATTATTCAGAGTATTCCATATAACTTTGTAGAATGTTAAATATTAGAATAAAGAATGTTTTATTGTAAAGTAGTTTAAAAGGAATAATTAAGCTAAGAAAAAATACTTGAGTGTATAATATACTAATATAAAATACTTAAATGAATCAAAGGATTTAAAAAAAATTTGATTTTAATTTTTCTACATCATGTTATAATATTATTATAGTATTAAGGTACATCAGATTATATTTTTATTTACTATTTGAGAGTAAAATAGTCTAAATAATCATAATGTATATTGTATATAAATTATAAATATCGAACCAACAGTCAATTTTGTATTGGCATTTAATGTTTGGGTGCGTTGCGGATAGTGGTGTGCCAAAATTGAGCGAGGTATCTGCCACTCCATTCCACTTATCTAAACATTAACATTTAAATGGTTGTAAATAACTGACTATTGGTTTAGTGTTCGATATTAAAAAATGATAAAAAAATCACTTGGTATAGTAATATATTTATAGCTACATAAATAAAAATAAGCTGCAGTGCAACAATTCGACTGGTCGGTAACCATGTTTTTAGTATACGATGAAATACGCAGTCATTTATATACATAATTTATATCAGTTTTAAATATTTGTTCAATCGCGGTATATAAACTGTATAAGAATCATGGCAACCAAATAATTTCAAATCTGTAGCAAATAATAATATTCCCATTTAATCGCTCAGTTAAACTCTCTCGTGGATGTGGTATGGTACACGATGTCATAATAATAATAATAATATAGCTGTACAAATTTTATTGCATTTTTGAGTTTGCGGATCTATGTATTATAATTAGATGTGTCTCTATAATATTATATCCGACTTTAGCAATGATCGTGATTACAATTATGATAACATGTGTGTTGAGTTCGAAATCGAGTCTTTGCGACGACGAATACCAAATTGAAAATAACGGCGAGGGTGAGTTATATTATGTAAACGACCAAATAGCTCGTACGAATCGAATGCATATTTATACGTAAATATACGTAAATTGTTGTTTTAGTGGCTCACTCGGGAATATTTTAAAAGGGATCAAATATTCAATAATCACTTTTTTTTTTGGTTTCCTAGTATAAGTGTGGTTTAATTCATAACTACCGGGTAGATTAATAATTAAGATATTATACCTATGTAAGAAAGAAGGTAGCAAATATATGTATTAAGTGCCAACGTATTTAGTAGGTATATTTTTTTGGGTAGTTTTAATAAATTATTATTCAATTTGTAATTGTGGCATTTTGTTAAATTATAAAGTTCTTACTGTTCTTACTTAGGTACCTATTCAAACAGTAATAGTTTTTCTATAAGTAAAAAGCATCTTCTTAAACAAATTATCTGTTGAATTCAAAGGTAAAAATATTATCCAGCCCTCCCCTCCTCCCTATCTCCGTTTTTTTAGACATCCTTTTGGAGCATATTAGAATTGTAAATTTATATTAGAACGCTAAATATTATTTCATTTACAGAGTGATTTACCAAGTATACTTTACCTCTTTTTTCTTCGTTAATGGAATTATTGAAAATATAATCTTTGAAAATTTTAAATAAACTTAAGGACCAAATTTTCAAATTCTTGAGATTAGTTGTACCTATGACAAGGAGTGTCCTTTAAAGATACAAACTTCTGTTTTTCAAATGAGAACCTTTTTCCAACTCTAAATTATGTAGTGGATAATTTAAACATTTGACGTATCAGAATAAAAATTCATAAAAGTAGTTTTTAAGTTAATTAACTTAGTGAACTCAGGATAATAGATCTGTGATGATGGATTCGTAAGATATCGGGCAATAGTGATTTGAAATTTTTAGAGATTAATATTCATCTATCATCAATATTATTAATTTGTAAAAATGGCCCAAGTATGATAAATACGAGATTCGATATTACATCTATTTTATTTTTTTGTAATTATTTTTTATTATCTTTAGTACAAATATTTTTGTAACAGAAAAATTATTAGTTAAAATTTTGAATTTGGCAAATTAAAATTATAATAGAAAATAAGCAAAGTAAAAATTTTCAAAAAAATTGTACTCTTAATAATTAGCTTGATAAAAAACGTAAATAGAAAAAAAGTTCTCATTTGGAAATAGAAGTTTGCATCACTACAGGACACCTCTCGAGTACCATAAAACAATTAAACAATCAAATAATTAAACAATTAAAAAATGGTCTTTGAGTTAGTAAATTTAAAAATTCCAAAAATCAGAATTTAAATAAATTCATTATTAAAAAAATAACGGGAACAAGAATGCTCTGTGAATCACCTTGCTTATAATTTTTCATTTGACTACATTTTAATGGCATAAAAACATTTTTTAATGTTGAAATTTCAATAGGAAGGGTTTCAGGCATAAAAATTCTCCTCCCTTGTTCCTTGGCACGCAACTGCAGTTTGATTTACGTCAAAAAAAGTACAACTGTTTCTTGTAATATATAATATTACCTAGGTGAATACGTCATATTAATATATTATAATCTAAATCATTATTAAGGGCTTACGATAACACGAAGAAAACATTTTAAGAATTCACAAATCCGAAATCAGGTTCATTTAAGCATCAAATGTTTTAACCCAACTAAACTGTATTTTATATTGAGCGGAGTGTCTAGAAAGTTTGGAAACCTTCGGTATTAATATTGTGTACACTATACGTATATATATAACGTTTACAAATTTATTCTACAGATTGGGTATCCGGCCTGTATATTTAATATGTTTAGGTACACGCTTGTATAAAAGCTTCACAATTCCAAATCAAAGAGAAAATGAAATGGTGTCTGGTCTCGGACAATTTCTGTATCTGACATTAATGAACCTATATGCTGTTATAAATATGTTTATAGCACATAAAGACCCGACGTCGACTTCATGAAAAGCGCCCATGAAAAGCACTTGATTCATTTCTACATCAACAGCCGTACAATGTACAAAATATAATATTATAAGTGTATTGTATTATTATACATGTTTATATTTACTTGTTGTTTTAGAAAAAAAATTATGACTACCTAAATGAATGTAGACGTCGTGTCTTATTTATTTTAGCCCTGATATAAGTTGAATGTTCACCACACAAAACGTGCCCATCACATGCTAAAATATACCCCAGCTCTAAAATGTTTTTAATTAAGGGGAAAAGTTTTATCAGCATTTTGCAATTAATTATTTTATACATGAAACAAAAACGAGATGAAAGGATAAACTTTCGTAATATCGGATCCTAAATCAAATATTTGGTGAGATCTTTTGTTTTGCTAAACGTATACACAATACACTGTCCGAAAACAATAATAATAAAGGCCCCGTTGTTGATAAAACTGCTTATTCTTTATGACAGTCTCAGACGAGATCGCTGCATAATCATGGCCTGTTAAAAATCGTAAATTTAATCGTCACATTCCCAATGGCCAACAATAATTGTGTGGCGCGTGTGTGTATAACACTGTACCTATATATACAATAATTATAGTGGTACTACGACGATAGTGGAATCTGGATCCAGACCCCACTTGTCAAGTTGTATCCTATCGCTTTATAAAAGTAAACATTTTTTATTTTACCGATTTGGTTAATGAATATATGTAGCATCTTTTGTCATAGTTTAATATTAACATGCATGTTTTTCGGACTTATATAACTTCAAACGGAATCGATACGTATATAGACTGTAGGTGAGTGGCTGAGCGTCTTAATCGATCCCCTGCTTAAATAAAAGCTGAATAAAGTTCAACCAATCAACTGACCAATATGCAATTAATTTTGTTCTAGTCGCGATCAGTGAAATATCATTTCCATTTATGGTGAACGTGGCCGGTACTTCGTCGAGCAAACCGGAATTCACGAACCGGAGATTGCACCGGGACTACCGAGTCGGTACTAGCGAACTATATGATCACAACCAAGAGAGACGACATCGACGTCACACGCTGCAGGTGTACTCAAAGAAGTCATTTAAGGTCGTTACGGGCAGACCAAGCAATGCGTTTTTAAGAGACGAGGAAAAATCTGTGTTCGATAAGTATGAAGGCGTGTTTGGCCGCTGTGATGGACGCGGTAAACGAGTTATAAGAAATTGACCACTGAATCGTCAAATTGTCTCCTTCGTCGTTGTTATTCATAATAATATAACAATAATAATTATATAATTAATAGTTAATCAAGCATTCCATTATTTTTGGATAGTAGGTATTGGTATTGTTTGTTATTATTTATTTAAATGGACTTTAATATATTCGGACGAAGAGCTTTTATTTATATGCAGTTTTTTAATCGAATTTTTAACCTCCACAGCTATATAATAAATTACTAACCGCTGCGGTGCCTATCGGTTTTTTGTAAGCATTTTCGAAACTATAATACAGTAGCGAAATAAAATACGTATTTCGATTTATTTTACGCTTGGAAGTTTACCAATAGCCAAAGTACGTACTTGCGTTTGTTACGTATACCTATATCATATTATATTATGCATTATAAGTGTATTTAGACATTTATATTTATATATATTATAAATTGCATACTAGTAAAAGTTTTGAAAATAAATGTTATTTCATTTGTACCTATGTATGTAAACAGACTGTATTCAAATCGATGTCTCGATATAATAATAATACTATGATTAAGTTCTGAAACTTGGAAGCATATTTTATATGCCCACACATTATTCCACTGCATAATTTATATACGTAAATACATTTATATAATTATATCTCATGCATGGTCGAAAAGTTACATAATATCAGTATGTTAGTAATTTCATTTCAAAATATATTTGATTTAAATATTTTGGAAACAAATTTTCTCGCAGTTTTTGCACATATATATATTTTCAACTTTCATAAATAATCTGATGATAAATAAAATGATGGAAAAAATAATCAATAGTTCGCTTATATTATATATTAATAAAAACATAATAAATAAAAAATAATATAATACTATACATGGTAAATGGTAATCATCGAATAATTTGCTTAGCTTATAATTACACAGTATGAATGTTAGCACTATTGTTAGCACGTATTTTCCAATGTTTGAAGATAATTGATTTAAAAATTGCATGCATTATTGATACGTCATGCTAATGACCATCCCATTTTAATATTTCATTTTCAACATAAATAAATTCCATGTATAAGGATCAATAAAAATAAATTAGTAATGAAATCAATAAATTATACTCGAATTTGCGTCACCTAGTTAATATTTTGAATTTCAACGAAAGTAGTAACTGTATAATCTTAGCTGAACAATTTCGCCAAAAACTTGGCGGTTACACAATAACCACATATATATAAAATGTGTTTTGTACAGATAATCCTATTAATCTTTATGGTAAAAAAAATGTGTATGTAGAGCATTGGCTTAAAGTTTAAAAAAATGTTTAATACAATTTTTAGTCTTATATAATATGGTATAAACTAATCACAGCAAATAAAACTATACTAAACAAACTACACACAGTGATCATTAGCACCTACGCGCATAAAAAAAATATTTATAAAAATATAATACGCACAGGTAGGTACGCAATTGATGCAAGTATAATACAAAAAATAATATAATAGTACTATTATAAAACATACTCATGTTTATATCGCAGCAGGCTTAATTACAATTCACAAAGCAAAGGTATTTCTATGGACAATTTTCCAGGGAGTAAAAACGTTTGAAAAGTTTCGAGTAGCCCTATTTATCGATTGGAAACCGAATCCAGTTGGTATTTAAAAGGGGTCGTTTAGTTTTTACTATTATTTTCAAAGACGTTTCCCTGAGCTTAAATACCACAAATAGCAATAAATATTTAACATTCTAACTATGCAGTAACTACCTAAATAGGTACCATATGGTAAATTGGAATTTTAAATTATGCACCGTTATTTTGTCCACATGAGTCTTAAACAGAAGTGATGATTTATAATTTATAATAAAAATAAAACACTATTATCCAGCACCGAGGTGAGTTGAGTACGACAAAGGTATTCAATACACTGTATCTATTATATTTTGTCAGTAATTTGATTCCGTTAATTTATTGTTTTATATAATTATAGATATCTCAATTATAAAAGCAAAAAGTGGGAAAGTAGGTAACCGCTCTTCTGTACCTATTCTAGGTGTTTAGTATACGGATTACCTAGTCATTGAGTAAGTATATAATTAATATTGTGTTAAATTTGAATTCAATGATGATTCATTGCATAAAAAAACAATTCTGAGCGAATACGGTCTGTTAGAAATAATATTATATTGCTATTCAAGTGATAAATATTTAACTATTAGAAATGCGGTAGGTCAAATTAATTCTTACTAAAAACATTCCATTTAAAAATATCAGTATGTGTATAAATTATGATAAATAATAGTTTACGTTAATGTTTCAAGATTCCATGAATTGTATTATTGAACTACAACAATGTAATAATTAAAATCGTTGTTCTCCGTTTAAATATCTAACTAAGTTCTAAATTTGAACTTTAGATGTCAATAAATATAAAAAGTGGACACACACATATATATATATATGTATTGATTATAGTAAGAACTACTTAGTTACTAGGAACCTTAATTAGCTAAATTTTAGCTAGATTAGCTTTAGCTACACAATTTGAATATTTGAAACATTTTTAACTACAAAATAATTTTCAGGTTTTCATGATTTGGTCAAAATGTTATCCTCCAAATGATTATAAAAAAAATCTCTCCTATGTATCATAAATATTTTTAAATAGCAATAATAAAATCTTATGTTGAACCTTATTGTATTAAATATTCAAGATTTTTAACTAAGTGCATTTTTATTTCATCAAAATTTAAAGAAAATAATCAAACATTTTAAAATCAATAAAATCTATGTTTATCTCAAAAAGGGTCGTAACATTTTGAAAATTATTTAATGCTTAGGAAATTGTAGTATGAAAATTGAGTGACAGTTTAAAGCATCTTTGACGTAACTACATAAGTATACCAAAAAAAAATTCTCTTTTTTCCTTAATTTGTTTTGATATTCCCGATTATTTTGAAAAACACAAAGAATATTTTACTTTTGACCACCAAAGTCTCTAATAGATTAAATTTACTATAAGAAATAACTCTCACTGTTAAAAATAAAGTATGCTTTTTACAAGAAAATATCTCAAGAGTTCGTGAGATTGAAAAAATGCATCTAAAAAATACACTGTTCTGAATCTAAAATGCAAACTGGGAAGTGATGGGTATTTTAGTTATAATTTTAATTTTAAAATGTTTTCATTCAAGTAACCCGTAATATAAAAGTGTATTTTTTTGACAGAAGTTGTTAATGAAAATGTTTTATTACATTCACCATAAAATAAATAAATAAATAAAACTTTAAAATTTAGCGCCTTACATAACATTATGTTTTTCTTCATTCTTTTAAAAATTATTTTTTAGGTTTTTACTAAATTTAAAATATCTTTGATTAACTCAATTAACATTGTATCTATATTTTATAGACTATAGGATTTACGTAATTTTAAATAACTTATAATATTAGGTTTTTAAAATCATTTTGTGTACGTTTCAAATATTTATTAACATTCCATATTATAGCTTTATAAATAGATAAAAGATTGTAAATGATTTTGAAAACAAATTAATTAAATAATGCTCAGGAAAATATTTTCAAAAGATTAAATCAACGATTGGTTTTTGAAATCACACTATGAAACAATTTTCTTTGTTTTTTTTTCTATTTTTAGATTTTAAGTTAAAAGTTTGAAAAATACATAGTAATTCGGAGCTATAATAGATATCAAACAACTTAACATAATTTCTCAATGGTTTGCAACTTTGAAAAAGTCATAAGTAATTTTTTTTTCTCCTGAATCTTCTCTAAGTTGTTTGACCTTTAAGTTTATATTGTGTTGAATTATAAAATTGAAATTGTTATTAACTACCTATATTGTTATATATATTTATATAATTGTGCGCATCATAATCTAATTGGATGATTCGACAAATTCAAAGTTAATTACATAAATTATGCAGATTTTCCATGCAAGTAAGTTTTAACTTGAAAACCATCGAAAACCGTATAAATTGACAGTTATGAAATTAGAGTGAATATTTATGGGCTTAATGAGAAAATGTCCCGGATTTCGAACAATCGATCATGGTAGTGATGTGTTGCGTGACGACGATGATCTCTAACCCAATAAATGCAAATCATAAAATATATCCATTATAATAATATTATGTCCGGCATCCCTGACGGTGACCGGAATTCGTCAACAGGCTTTAAATGGAGCAGATAGTATTATATTATAATATATATGTTATGTGGATAATAGGTAAGCGTTGTTTGTTGACGAGATGGAATGTTTACCCATGATTGTTGGGCCAAAGACATTACTCAGTATAATATTTTACTATTTACGAGTATATCATACTGATGCATAACTAACCGAATGATAATACATTTATCTTGATAAGTTAATATCCTAATTCAATTAAAAGAGAACATTAGGTTTGTAGAATTTCACATTTCATACTTATGTAGCTAATGAATTATGTTTTTAATATTTTATTTTGTGTTTTGGATTTCTTTCAGAGCAAATAAGCTGTACTTGTACTTACTATCCATATTGGACATCAGTGGAGTGATCAGTTTTTTTAAAAAAGGGGATATGAAATTTTGACTGTTCTCAGACCACGTAATATTATATATATTCATTGGATCATTGCTTTATCATAAAATTGATATGACAAAAAAAATTAAAAGAAGCATATGACACTCTCGTTCTCACCTACGTGAGCATTTGCCCGTTAGGTATAATGGAATATATATTTTATATAGGTCTAACAATTACGTGATTTGTTTGTTCGTATACTCTAGTCCAGTGGTCTCAAACACGCGGCCCGCAACCCCTTTTGATGTGGCCCGCAATAAATATTTATTTCTTCAAAAATTGTTTGATTTTTTTGTTTTATACATTCGTAATAGGAATTTCCCAAAATAATTTAATTCGATCATGATAAGCACAATGCGATAAAAATAATCTATTAAGATAAGTGTTATTATTTAACGTGTATTACGTGTAGGTACGGGTTCTTATTATACTCAGTTCGTGAATGTAGTTTGTGTGCGCTACTCGTTCAATAAAATGTCAAGTGTTAAACGTAAAATCGGTCAAGAAGGACGTATTTTTCAAGAAAAATGGGGCTATGCATATTTTTTTACCAGTTGTAATTCTGTTCCTAT